ATCGAATTATTAAAATTAAAAATATTTTAGAGTAAAAATTAATTATTTTATATCACTCTTCAATATTTGAGATGTATTATAAAACTATTTATTCAAATAATATGAGGGTAAATTGGTATTTTTCATTATTTTACTATAATTTTGATTATTTTTCAGTGATGGCAGTTTGCTCATAATATTTGTGTGGGTGAAATTAATATTTTATTTATCTAAGAACCCAACACTAAATAAAAATCATTAAAAAAGTCGAAAATGCCTAATTTTTTATTGGCTTAGATATTATTCATTAATATTAAAAACTTTAATCATATAGATAGAAAAAAAGGATAATTTTTTATTTTTAAATATAGAGGTTTTATTTAAATTTTGTTAAGTAAAATAAAAAAATTTATGTTTTTGAAAGGAAAAAAATATAATTTTAATATTGAATTAATAAAAAATGGATGTATTTGGGGGCTTTGTAATATGTAGGGGAGGCTAATCATAATTATGACAAAAAAAAAAATCTTTTTCCTGCAGCTAATCTTCGCTGTGCCACCACCGCGCAAGTTAACCGCCGGCAGCCAAGCGCAGCGGAGCGCACGACAGCTGATAAATAAGAGAAAATGATAAGGAGGTAGACATACCTTCTTGCTTCGGTTTCTCTGTATCTGCCACGGATACGGTGTTCTTCTTTACCATCCTCCGCCACCATTCCATCTCCCCGTGATTCGCCTGCGGAGAACTGGACTCAAGAACCAAAGCTCCTTTTCTTCTCACGCTGGTCTCAACTCACCGCCAACCGTGCTCCAATCAGCTGTGCAAAGTTGAAAGTGGGTAGCCGGTCGCTTAAAATGCTCCGCACGCCACAGACTTGCACCCACGGGATTCCACTTCGGCCTCCTTCCTCTTGATTTCCTTCACCATCAACTCACTGGACCATGAGAGCTACCCGGCCTACCCCTCCGTATATAATTTCTTCGCTGAAAACTTACATAAAAGCCCCTAAAAATTTTTAATTTATGAAATGGTTGCTACCTTTTCATTAAACAATTAGTGAAGTTGCGTGTGTAAGATGAAGAGCTTATTCAAAGCTCTTTCCAACGTCACAATCGTCGTTCTAAATGATGAAATAAAAAATATATATACGTATTTTAAATTATTTATAGAAAAAATTAAAAAAATATTTTAATATAAAAGAAAATATAAGATAATAAGTCTGTAAACTAAATGATACACAACATCTTTTTTAACATTAATAAATTATTTTACAAGATCAACAGTGCTACTCAAAGATAAGAACTCCTCGCTTTTATATTTTCATTGAATTTATTTATATTAATATATTATAAAAAGATCGGATAAATTAATAGAGAGATGAAATAGACAATTCATTTACATTTAAGCCTTGGGGAGTTACATTATGATTCTTAGATAAGCCCATTATTTAAGAGGTGATCAACATCTAGTTTAATTGATATGTGGAAGGTTAGGTGTAAAGTTTCTTATTTTTTGAATGTTAGGTGTAAATGTCTAGTCTAGTTTAAGGGAAAGTGAAAATTTTAATGCTCAAATTTACTTATAGTTATGGATTACCTTGCCTAAGGTAATATGATTCTACCATTCACTGATTTTTGTACACTTCATTAACTCCAACAAGAGTTGTGAAGTTTACCTACAAATGTGACATAGAAGCAATGACACTAAAGATTGCCTTCGAAAGGAGAAATTATTTTATGTGGATGCCAGATCGTTCGAAAATAAATTAGAATGTATCATGTCACCCGGTACACAGCGGTACATAGCACTGGTACACATAAAAATTTTGTGCTAAAAATCATTTAGAAACTATTAAAAAATTGTCACAAACAAAACCTTAAAATTCATTTGGACTCAAAAATCTTGTGTTCTCTGTGTGTGAGCTAGTTATCCGTTCAACGCTAAGACGCAGAATTAAACATCTATCGCTGCGTATTTTCTAGCCCGCAACAGTAATCATGCCCAATTTTCATTAATATAGAGAAAAAAGATTACAAGAAAGTTAAGAAAAATAAAGCAAAAAGTTAAAAATCCTGTCAACAAAGAACTAAAAAAAAATAAAGCTAACCTAATACAAGAAAAAGCTTAGCCTAAGCAAAGACAAAAGAAGACTGAAAGATTGGTCTTCAAATAGAACAAATAAACCAAAATCCTTTACGATCATTCTTCAAACAATATACTAAGCCACGAACAGCAAAGCAAATCCAATCAACAACACCGACATCCAATTCTGTAACAGAATTCATTTGTGACCAGACTTGAAAACCCGTTATCATCAGACTAACTGAAATCCTTAGAACAAATTAAACTCCAGGAAGCTAGCCATCAAACGAGCCAAAGCTACCTACCAACTTGCTCTTCCATGTTGAAAAGAGCAACAAAGCCTAGAAATCAAAGGCACCAGCAAATCCGAACTCCAAGCACGATCAACCACCATATATAAAATTAGAATTAAGGAGCCCAAAGTTTTTAAAGATTAGGCCATCCAAGTCCAAAACTGGTTGCTTAATCCAATAGAAAACCGACAGCAGAAAAAAAATCCAGACCTTGGTTGCATGAGAAAAATAACCAGTACTATATATGTGGCCTTTTCTCCATTGTGTCCTTAAAAAAAAAACACACACAACAAACTTAAGACAAAAAAACTCTTAACCCTCCAAAAATGATCCATGATTTTCAACAAGAAATCTTACAAAAAAAAAAAAAAAACTTGAAAAATATGATTGTAAATCAAATACAAACTTCCTGATATTCCTTTCTCTCCATAAAAAATAAACCGAGCAACAAACCATCATGAAATATATATTTAACATCCTTAATTTGGAACCTTTAAATCAGAAATAAAATCTAAGCATTGCAAAAGAGTAAGCTTAAG